TTTTGTTGTACTGTTTATGTATAAAAAAATTGGATGACTGTACTTAAAACAAGAAGATCAGGGGTTGCACGTGAAGATCTCGTGATTGACATAGGCATTGCCGGCGGTATACTCAACATAATCTGATATATATAAGCTGTTTATAAGGTTTGAATCAGCAATGGTAGAGGGCAGAAATTTTGTGGCTCAAATGTGGCTCAAATAGCCAAAACGACGTCGTTTTGAGTACAAAACAACATCAAAATGGCCAAAACGACGTCGTTTTGGCCATTTGAGCCATATTTGAGCCACAGAATTAGAGCCCCCAAACATTTTTCGGTTTGAATTGTATAGTTTATTTGGATCAACAATGACCAAACTTGGTTCTTGGTGTGTATTTATTATCAACTTCTTTCCCACTTGTTATGTTATCATCACTTTCTTTCTTCATTGCTTGCAGCAAGGTTGTCTCTGCATATTCTGTTTTTGAATCATAGATTTATTTATATAGTTATTTAAAAGAGAAAAAAAAGTGGATAAAATGTAATTATATTTTATTTATATTTCATTCTTTTTTAAAAATTATTAGTGAAATTCATAATCTAAACACAATCTCAATAACTCTAAAACCGGTTTGCAAGTTAATTCTCATGTGGAAACATCAATGAATTGTGCGGTTGAATCAGAAATACAGTTGTACTCTTACAAGTAAGCGTATCAATTGGATTATGAATCTATGATAGATTTTCCTAAGGGGAAGCTTGTACGAACCCACGGTAGGAAAATCAAACAAAACACAGAATTTGTTTGGCAGGACCAACCAGAGCACTGCTACCCAGTGCTTCAAATCCATCTGGCACACTAACACTATGTTTGGTTTGAGGATTTGAGAAGAGATTTGGAAAGGAAAAAGGAAATGTGTGTGAAACTAGATAAAATTTAGGTATACTTTATATACATTTTACCTACTTTTTTCATTTCTCTTTTCAAATCCCTTTTCAAATCTTCTAACCAAACACAACATCAAGGTAACATTTGACATCAAATAAATACTCCACCCAATACTGCAAAATGTGACGTTGCTATTGGCATGAACATAGCAGGGACATGCTCTCCAGCCGCTGCTTCAAATTTTCTTGTTTTTTTTAGAGACTCGTGAATAAAAAGAAATGACTTATCTCTAATTGAAATTTAATGGAATTAAATAGTTGAAATCTTGATTGATAAGAGTCAATAAACGAAATATTTTGATTAAACGAAAAACTCTTATTGATAAGAGTTTTGTTTAGAGAACTCATATATATATATATATATAAGTAGTATTTTTTCCTTTCTTAAGTGACACATTTTAAATGCTTACTTTTTTTTTCTAAAAAAATCACATATATATAGAGTTCTACATAAACTCAAACTCAATTTAAATTATGCTAATTTACTTATTTTATATGCACTCTATTTGAGAAATACTTTTTTATCATAAATTCAGATAATCCACAAACTCAAAATCAATTTTATATAGACTCTATTTGAAAAATACTTCTTTCACAAACCCAATTTGATTTTTACATGAAATCTAACTACAAATTCTATATAGATTATACTTTGATTGTACAAAATATTTCCTATATTATTTTATATAATCACAACTCAAAATATTTCCTAAATTATTTTATATAATTACAACTCAGATGAGGAAAAACCTACACAACAATGATACTCTCGAAGAACCTCTAAAATTTGGATTTACTGTTTGAGTTATTTTTTAATTACTGAACAGTAACTTCTTCTATGTTTTAACACCATATTACAGATAATTAATCACTTCACACACTGAGATGTATCTATTGTATGTTTTCATTTATTTTTTTTTTATTTTGGGTTTAGATGTTGTTATGAAATTCTTTTTTGATTAGTCGTTGTTGAACTTGTTTTATATAGTTGATATTTTAATTTAATTAAGAATATATATTTTATAATCTTATAATTTAATATATGTCACATAAAATCATTATATGATAATTGAACTACAACATATTTAAATTGAATTTTTTTTCTATTTTTACATATTTTTATTTTCCAAATGAATATAAAAGAAAATTAAATAGTTATAATTACTTTTAATTTTATGTTACTAATTCTTCTATTAATTTAACTATTATTTTTAATATCAAAATGGGTATTTATTTTTACTATCTTACAATTTAATATATATCATACAAAATTATTATATGATAATTACACTTTTATAATATGATAGAACTAAAATTATCAAAATACACAAATAATTTAACTAAAATTTATATATATATCTATATAAGTATTCATTTTATTTTTAAATATAAAAAAAAAAACTAATCCATTTTATTTAAAAAATTCTCCAACACCCTGCCCCTTGTAAACTTTTCTGAGTTAGTTATATATAAGTATTCATTTTATTTTTAAATAAAATAAAAAAAAACTAATCCATTTTATTTTAAAAAATTCTCCAACACCCTGCCTCTTGTAAACTTGTCTGAGTTAGTTAAAATATACTTTGGACAAATTAAATATACCCCTCGAGATTTAGTAAAATTATAAATACCCCCTGAGATTTTAAAAATTACAGATATCCCCCTGAAAGTACTATTTGCATAACAAATTAGAGGACAAATTATTATGAACATATAAATCTCAGGAGGTAATTTGCTATGAAAATATAAACCTCAAGGGGGTATCTGTAATTTCTGAAATCTCAGGAGAGTATTTGTAATTTAGTTAAACCTCGAAGGAGGTATATGTAATTTGCCCAATATACTTTATCACTATTTATTGCAAAAATTCACAACAAAAAAAATCCTGACAGTTATTTCAGGTAATATGTATTTGTGGGCTGGAAGGGTTTGACTTGATTGCCCAGGCTGAGTAATTTAGGCCACATATGGCACTTTAGAGTGTGTATTGGGCTGGACTGTTCCTTGGGATAGTGGATCATGGGCCTTTAAAGTGTAGATTTGTTGACCTCTGTTTATGGGCCCTGAAAAGTGAGACTTTGGTATTTGGGGACAGCAGCCCCTGCGACATGTTGTGCTCACCGCGGCCTATCTTCATTAAGTATTAAAATTGTTCAAATCTAAAAAAAATTATTTAAATTGTTCACTTTTGATGACACATTAAGTAGATTTTGCAAATAAAAAAATTAGGTTTACCAGATATTGATAATCATATTATCGATTTACATTTGCCTTAAAAAAAAAAAGGCTAATAAAATTTCGATAATAAGATGTCTATTTTTAAAAGATAAATGTGATTTGTTCATATAGTTATCGAAATATAATCAATCTAATTTTTTACAAATTTTATAAAATAAATAGTTCGTATCACACTAATAGGCCTGTGTTGGGCCTCACACTGGGGCCAAAGGGACTACTTTACCAAAAGAGCACAAGGATAACTCCATTCGCAAGTCTTAACCATGATAATAAGTTTAAGGACTTAATTAACAATAATTAATTAAAATTTGGTGCAAAGTTTGAGGATCAAAATATTTTTATTTCTTATATAAAAAATAAATTAAATTTAAAATGATGATTTTTTTATTCAATAACTTGAGTTAAGGACTTAATTTGTCCTTTTATTTTATTTATTTTTAAAAAAAGGAAAAAAGGAAATTAAAAGTTGTTGGAAGATGACGATAAAAGCTTGAGCAAAAGCTGAAGTGCCAAAATAGTAATTTATCCTTTTAATTAATTAATTATTAATTTTTTTAACTCTATCAGACAATAACAAAGCTAATTCTGATATCCAAATTAATAGAAGGGGTTGTTAATGTACACCCATGAAATACATATTAAGGCCTCGTTTGGGAATAGGCTAATTTAGTTACTTTTTTACTATTTGGCTAAAAAGATAGGTAAAAAAAACTTGTATGTTTGGGATGACTTTTTGACTAATTACAAAAAGATATGCAAAAAGTAGAGAGAAAAGAGAATCTTTGACTTTTTGGTATAGGTTGTTGACTTTTTGACTAATTTAGTAACTTTTTGGCTAATTGACTAAAATAGCCTCTTGCCAAACGAGAATATTTAAAAAGATTATGCATTTTTATTGTTCGTACTTTTTATGCAAGATATACAAATTTTTTATACTCACTAACAAATTCCTTTAAAAAATAAAATAAAATAAAATGCAAATTAAAGTAGAAGAACATTAATCAAAGAACGAGAATATTTATAAAAAGTAGAGAGAAAAGTGAATCTTTGACTTTTTGGTATAGGTTGTTGACTTTTTGACTAATTTAGTAACTTTTTGGCTAATTGACTAAAATAGCCTCTTACCAAACGAGAATATTTAAAAAGATTATGCATTTTTATTGTTCGTACTTTTTATGCAAGATATACAAATTTTTTATACTCACTAACAAATTCCTTTAAAAAATAAAATAAAATAAAATGCAAATTAAAGTAGAAGAACATTAATCAAAGAACGAGAATATTTATAACAAATAATAAAGAAATAACAATTAAGTGAAAAGTGAAAGCCGAAAATGTGACCACAATAATGTTAGGAGATATGAAGTAAATAAATAAAACATGAAAAATAATTTTAACTCAATAACGTGCAAATGAGTGTAAATGAGAACTATGATGTTTTTATATTATTTTCATTTGTATCAAATATATATCTCATTTGCATTTTATTAAACATAATTTATATATATTTCATATGTGATTCATTTATATCAATACATTAAAATAGTGAAATTGATAAATCAATACAATTTAATCCTAATAATTTGATCTGATTTTTATTAATTTTGAACCAAACCAATCTATGAACATCATTACTTAAATTTATATTTTAAAAAAATTTATAACACCATTTTGTATCGATTTTTAATGCAAAAATTCGATATGTTTAGTATATTTATTTCCTGTATTTCCCCTAATAATCATGATGATGTATATAACTTCCATCCATCCCAAAAAAAAAAAAAAAAAAAAAAAAAACAAACTCCTTTATGTTTCTAAAAAAAAAAAAAAAAATGCAAGGAAAGGAATGGGCGAATCTTCACAAATTCCCAAACACTACTTTTCAACAAACACTAGATATTGAAATGAAATGCACCAATCCTCATCCTCCACGTCACCAACATTGTTCACCAAATCAGGTCCGTTCGATTCACCTTTAACTGACAGGTAACACAGTGTCTTGATCGCACCAGACAAAAACAGAATCCCCATAATACCCTCCGCAGTTTATTCCCTTTACACGTTTGTCCTCTTTCGTCTTTTTGTCACACACACACACTCCAACCATGCAATATTACTGGATCAGGGTTTTAATCCAGTGCATCAATTATCAGAAAACAACGGCGCGTGATTCAACAGATCGTACGGTTTCCACAATCCATCCAACGGACACGGCTTTCCGGAGTCAAGCCTCAGCCATGGCTTCCCCTTCCCACTCCAATGCAGCAGACTCACCGGACCCGGATGCAGATCTCTACAGAGCCCATCACGGTTATCGCCGCCGAGCCCATGTTGGTTCCATCGATGCTCAACTCCTTCCACATTCCCATCAAAAACCAGCAAAAATGGAGGCAACGAACCCAGCTCATAAATCCTATACCTCTTCTGAATCCTCATCCAATTCTCGAGCTTCTCTGTGTACTTACCTTGTCTCCATTTCACAAGATCGATTACCATCACTCCTGTGTTGAAATAACATGGATTTCGATTTTGGAACACGTTTGAGAACAATGGGCTAGCCCAGAATTTGGAAGTGAAGTAGGTGGTGAAATTGGCGTGGCAGTATTTGGGGGCACCGAGGACGTGGGAATTGAGGTTGATGGACCAGAGATTGGCGATGTCGTCGACGAGGATGAGGTCGGAGTCGAAGTAGATGATGCGGTGGACGGAGGCGGGGAGGAGATCGGCGAGGTAGATGCGGGCGTAATTGAGGGGTTGGTCGAGTGCGCGGCGGAGGGAGGAGGAGATTTTGTTTTTGACGAGGTTGGTGTCGAAGTGGTGGAGGTGGAAGGAGAGGTAGGGGAAAGTGGTGAGGATGGTGCGGCGGAGATGGGCGGATGGGCGGTGTGTGGAGAGGAAGTGGAAGACGGTGTTTTGGGGGCAGGTGGAGTGGTGGAGGATGGAGAAGATGGCGGCGATGGAGCCGCGGAGGTAGGTGGAGTCGAGGGTCATGGCTATGTGGATGGTGGAGGAAGAGGAGGTTGGGTTGGGGCATTGGTTTCCGTTTCGGAATGCTGGGGCTTCACGGAATTCAGGGAGGTTGACGGCGGAGAGGAATGCCGGAAAAGTTACGGCCGAGAGGAAAGGAGGAGGGTGGTGGTTAGGAGGTGCAGATGTGGTGGTCGCATGGTGGTGGAGTGGAGTGTGGTCATGTGGCGATGATGATGATGAGATAGGAAAATAAATTATCTCACAGTTGTGCTGCTGTTGTGCCATGATTGACGGAATGAGGGGTAGTTTGGGAATTTTTGAAGTGGGGCCATGCGATCGAGTGTGAAGAGAGAGGAATAAGATGTTGATGACAGGCTGGAAAGCAGGTATATTGTCTGTGACTGTTTTTATAGTTTAGAGAAGTTATTGGTTAGAATAATACTTGTACTTCGAAATTATTTAGCCTCCGTTTGGGAAGTGGGTTGGCTTTTTGACTTTTTGATTTTTTTGGTTATTTTAGCCTGGGTTAAAAAGATTGGTTTGGGAAGGACTTTTTGGCTTTTTGACTTTTTTGACTTTTTTTGTGAGAGAAGAATGCAATGATTATGGGTTGGATGTGATGTTTTGTTTGTTATGGCTAAAATAACCTTTTTTTTTTGTGGCTAAAATAGCCAAAAAAGCCTGAAAAAGCCCTTGCCAAACGGAGGCTCCAATTGGTTTGAAATCTAAGACGATTTCGTTTTGAGTTTTTTTTATTTTTTATTTTTTTCTTATTTTTTGCTTTTGAAAATAGACGAGAGAAAGAAGAGAGAAGAGAGAAGAGAAGAGGAAAGAGAGAAGAAGGAGGAAGAGAAGAAGACAGTGATGGCGGTGATCGGCGATAACCGCTGGATATCGCCGATTGCCACTTTCTCTGTTTTCTCTACTTTTTTTTTTTTTTTAAATGGATCTGGATTTGAAAATGAAGGGAGGGAAAAAAAATTGTTGATTGATGATGATGTATTGATGATGATGATGATGAAGGTGTTGTTGTTGATGATGATGATGCGTTGATGAAGATGTTGTTGTTGTTGATTATTTTTTTTTATTTTATTTTTTTTTATGGATCTGGATCTGAAGATGAAGGAGGAAAAAAAAATTTGTTGGCTGATGATGATGTGGATGAAGATCCAACTTCTTCTTCTTCTTCTTCTTCTTCTTCTTTTTCTTCAGAAAAAAAAAGAGAAAAAACCCAAAACGATGTCGTTTTGAGTTTTGAGCCAATTCGAGCCAACTATTTTCGAGCTACCAAACGGAATTGTATTGGTTATTGCTTGGGTTTGTTTGAAGGGATTGAAAAGGGGATTGGACATCATGGTAATTGGATTCTGAAATTTATTATTTTATTGTAAATTTGTAGGTTGAATTGAGAGTTTAGTTGGATTATCAATCTCATATATGTGGAATTATTATATTTTAGGGGAGGTATGGGATAGAACTGGTGGGATAACTATCACATGGGAGCTTCTATTTCCATACCCACATTCTTTTTTGTGCACATCCTTCTTAGTCACACACCTAAAAAAAATAAAAAATTTACTTATTACACATACTTTTATTCCAATTATACCCATGTATCTAAATTGTACTGTAACACCCGCTTTCATAATTAACAGTTACTTCTGTGACTTATTTTATTTGTGTGCCTACATGTGACTTTCCTGTCTTATAAGCTCATATGTGTGAGTTAATTATGAGTCATGTGCCATTTGCACTATGTTTTGCTTGACAGATACGTTGATTTATGAAAAAAGACCTATCTGATCCGTTAAAGAGTAAGGTTACAAATTAAATAATGGACTAGGTGGGTAGAGCCTAATTCACCTTAATCAGATAAAGTAATAATTTAATTGACGTGATTCTAATTTAATTAATCCAAGTTAAGTAAATTAGATAATTTATATATATATATTGAACTCAAATAGGAGAGAGAGAGAGAGACAGAGATAATCTGAGAGAGAGAGAGAGAGAGAATAAAGAGAAGAAGAAGAGAAAGAAAGGGAGAAGAAGAGAAAGAACGGGAAAAGAAGAAACGAGCTTGAAGCAAACTTTATCAAATCAACACATAAGGTAAGAATTCTCACCTAATCTCCTAAAATTGAAGCATCACATCCTTAATCCTTTAGAATTAAGTTAGATTCATGCTTAAGTGAGGGTTCTAAGTAAAAGGTCAGGGGTAAATCTTCATAGGAACACAATTTGAAACTATGAAAGAAAAGATTAAAGATACATGACATTTGCATGTTTCATTTCTTGTTTGACTTGGGTTTTGAGCTTGATGAAGGAATTTTTCATGGAGTTTTCTTGATAACCTTCTCAACTTCAAGTTTTGATCTTGTGCTTGGGCTATGAGTTTTGTTTTAGAAGTATGATCTTAGTTTGAAGATAAAAGTTACCCATGACATGTGTTTTTGTAAAAGTTGAGCTTTGATTTGTTAAACTTGGGTTTGATTTCGAAGGTTTGAAGCTCAAAAACAGAGCAGAATTTTTGGTTCTGAACACCCAGAACCACACGTGCGGCATGGAGGACCGCACGTACTGGAATTTGTGGTGCACGTGCGGCAAGAAAGCCCATACATGCGGAAAACAGGGGAAAAGAGAAGTGCATTCTGAAATAATCGCACTTTCTGGCGCACGTGCGGTGAGAGTCTCGCACGTGCAACCAAGGGGCTCCGTATGTGCAACGATTTGGCTGGCCCGATTTCATTTTTCTACTACATTTGTCCCTCTTTCGGGCCTTCGTTAGCAAGGTTTTCACATGTAGTTAGGGCTACAAACGAACCGAACCGAACCAAGCTTTGTTGAGTTCGAGGTCGGCTCGTTTACTTATCGAGCTCGTTTATTGACTCAAGCTCAGCTCGATAAGAAGCTGAGCTTGAGCTCAGTTCAACTCGTTAACATTAATGAAACGCGAACTCGGTTCGGCTCGGCTCGATAAATTTTTTTAATATTATTTATATTATTTAAATAAAAAATATTATTTATATTATTTAAATATTATTTAATATATAAATAATATATTTATTATATAATTTAAATAAAGATAAATGAGCTGAGCTTGACGAGCCGAGCTTATGCGAACTCAAGCTCGGCTCGTTTACTAAATGAGCCAAAAAATTGAGCTCGAGCTCGGCTTGTTTACTAAACGAACCGAGCCGAGTCGAGCTTATTCATGAGTAGCTCGATTCATTTGCAACCCTACATGTAGTTGACATTCTTTTGCATTGCACGAGCATTTAAAAAGAATAAGGGGCAATTACATCAACCAATCATTAAACGATAAAAACGGTTAGTTGGTTGCAACCGATTAAGTGTGTTATGCTTGTATCTGTCAGTGTAGGTCAAACACCACGTTCCAGCCATGTAATTCACGGAGCCAACTGTGAGTAACACTGTTGTAAAGATATGTTTAACTTAAAGTATCTCTTTCCTGCTTTATATTACGCTTTGTTCTGACGTGCTTTTTCTTATGTTTATGAATGATGATCCTATTTTTCTTACACTGTATATCATGGCATCCTTAGCACCTGTTTACATGATTACAGAGATCTCTGTCAATTTCAATTCCTGGAACTCCTGTTTACTATAGTGATGGGCATCATATCTGATTAGCTGTCTTTATGACCGCCTGTTCGGTCTTTTAGACCGCCTGTATTAGCTTGCTATGACCGTCTGTTCGATCTTTTAGACCGCCTGTATTAGCTTGCTATGGGATGTACCACGTATACTTTTATGCTTTCTGCATGAGATAAGAATCTGTTCAGTTTGTGATTTGCTTTACATTATGATCATCATTCAGAACCTCTTTACACAGCTGTTATTCACTGAGCTCTAGCTCACGTTTTGATATATATATATATATTGTAGGTGATCCAGTTCAGGAGGGGACGTAGTGGCGACGGTTTTGCCTCAGTTTTGTTGAGCACCCTTTTTGTGCCTTACGTCGAGGTTCCCATTTGTTAGAGCGCCAGTGATCACCTTTTTAGAACTTACTCACGTGTTATGGTCGGTTGTCACCGACGTTATATTTGTTGTTGATGGGCATGACTTCCCTCTTTTGGTTGTATTTTGACAAACTTGTGATACCTTGATGTACATATATATATATATATATATATTGAGAGGGAGATTAATGATATGGAATTGGGTCGGACAGATTTGGGCCGGACAGAGTTATTCCAGACAGATTTGGGCCGAACAGGTGTTGGGCCAAGTTGTGTGGCCCGGCCTTGAAGGAAGCTGCTCGGTTAAGGCAGCGCGTGGATTGACCGAGCTGCAAGGATCCGTGGTTGCGAAGCTGGTCAGGTAAAAAGTCCAGCGCAAGGAAAGGCAAGGTTGGACCGAGGTACCTGTTTGCTCGGCAGGTAGGTCGACTGCAGACAAGCGTGAGTTGTCCCGAGCTCGACTTTGCCGAGATGCCGCCGAGTCCGGTCCTTATCTGAGCTTAGCTGTTGGAGTACTTGGGCATGAAGCGCAACATGGAAGACGATGGCTGAGATGGTACTGCCCGGCTGCCGAGCTCCCAGGAGAATGGGCAGGCAGTTGGGTTAGGTGGTGCTCAGCAAGGTTTATGCTGACAGATGGGATAGTAGTGCCATGTGTTGAGAGGTCACTGGGAGTAGATTTGGGGCACAGAAGGTATATAAGCACGTCTGCGCCCCCCATACGTGGGCAGATGAACATTTGGTGAGACATACACTAAACACAATTCTCTCTCTTCGCTCTATCTATCCCCTGGTGTGTGTTCTAACTTGACCGTTTGAGGGGTTTTCCGGCCACACACCGCCGGGTAGCTCACCGCCTTTGTGTACGCAGGTGATCGGATAGAAGCGGAGCTTGGAAGAAAGGAGTGTGGGCTTGCCTGAATATTTGTTCCCCGTACATATATATATATATATATATAGCAATGTCTTTTGTCTCATGTAAGTTCACAACTCGTTGGACGTTTTACTTTTTTATGTATTAGCTCCCGCTAGCCCCGTTCGTTTGTTTTGTTTAGTTAGGCCTTTGGTAATCGCACATTACTAGCCGGTTACGACACTAAACCTATAGGGGCGGGTTTGGGTCTCATACACACATAACTTTCCAACACTCTTAATCCAAATAGCTACATCTTGGTAGAAGGAGCCAACCAGTTTCAACCTCCATTGCAGTCACGACTGAGAACTAGGGAGTTCCATTGCAGTCTCCTACACAGGGAGAACTAGTTTACTTTCAACCTCCATAGAAGACCTCCA